ACTTTTCTATTTTTCGCCAATTATTTGTCATCAATAAAAATACTATATGTGACAGAATTATCACAGTGTTGTCTATTCAGTCAATTAAAATTTCATATTGGGGTTAAAAAACCTCATTCTGGGGTTACTAACAACAGCTGACTATTTGCCACAACTGATGACACATTTATCGTAAAAGGTTTATTATTATAGTTATATATTTATGTATTCATTTATTTCCACATATAATGTAAAAAGGTGTTGCAGCAGCAATAAAAGCCATATTATTTTTTTTTTCATTCGTTTCTTTAACGTCGGCCTTCTTCTGCTACCGAGGCTAATCACCGACGCCGGTGAGCACACTATACCCCCAACCGGAAATTTTGCCGAATCCTCTGGTGTTCCAACCAGAGGTAGGGATCTTTAACGAGTCCAACATCCATGGCCTCGGGACCGCCGGCTCAACGTCCCCTCCGAAGGACGGCATATCCATACCATATCTTGTGCTCACTGATATGGTAGCTGTAGCTATGATATGCTATTCCGCTGCAGATGTGCGGGCTTACGCGGCGTTTCCTCGAATGGTCACCCATCCAAGTACTAACCGCGCTCGACACTGCTTCACTTCAGATATCGAACGGCTAGTGCCTTACCTGAAAAGCTAGGGCGACGCCCTATTATTATTATTCATAGCAGAAATGTTTTTAGCTATAACTAATAATTTTAGTTTTACTGCGTCGTTCGGGACCGCCTCGCGTCTCGTCGGGACCCACCGGCAAAAATTACATCTTGCATCTGTTTGTCTTTCTGTTTCATCATTTGAACTTGTATCTTAATAGTGGGTAGATAGCACGGTCGTCGAGCTTAGACAAAATAAATAAAATAATTGTCTAGTGTAGCCGGGAGCGTCGTCTTCTTGCTGGTTCACTGCTCTGTGTGTTTTCAAATCACTGTTTTGTGTTTTTATGCACTTCGCGCTGAGCCATTTGGCATTTGGTTGGCAAAATAATAATTCGCAGTTTACCATCGTTATCTGTGCGTCACTAGTTATCAGGTTTAGGTACCTATTCACAATTCAATTCAGTTTACGACGGGCGACGGTGAGAAACGTCCATCCGACGTCACGTGTACACGGTGTATATTTATAATTCCCTCTCTTTTTGCTGAGCTGTGGCCTGTGGACAAGCGTCTACGGATCCATACCATTCATTTTACATTCCCTCATACTCGCGCCTTCATTAAAATCCATTTGATAGCTGTCTTCTATCAAAAGTGTCAACTTTTACCAGTTTGTTTTGTTTGAGAGTTTGAGGAGTTATCGTTTTCATCGGTATGTATTATTATGTATGGTTTTGTTATGTTATGTAATGCAAATGCAGAGGAAAAATCACGTACAAATAATTGATAGTATATTTTCTACGACAGCGGATAGTAAAAATGGTTTGGTGCACTATTTGCAATACATCGTTTTCCAAAGTTTACACTTTGAGAAGGCATGTAAAAAATTTTCACCCAGGTTAGTACTTCTCTTCCCTTTCAATAGTTCCTATCGCAGTTTATGGCAGTGATATGGAAATATATACTCATTATTTTTAGATAAACAGGATGAAATCGCTCCCGCAAAACAAAAATCGACTGGGGCTGTGTGCAATGAGTGTGGCAAATCTTTCTTCAGTTCTTCAAATTTGATTCGACATGCAAAACAATTTCACATGGGTTAGTTTATTTTGTTGATTCTATTATGAGGCCAGGATAGTGATATATTTTCTTATTTTCAGATAAAATTGGAGACTTCACAAAGACATTCAATTATGAATGTGATGAATGTGGAAAGCATTTCAAGCATTTTGAATTTTTCAATAATCATAAGAAAAATCACAATGATAGCACAATAAATACTGATGGGAACTTGAAAACAGTTAAAAAAAAAGTGTTGTTTATGTGCTTGTGATGAAAATTATAACAAATCTGAAATATGGAATCACATTGAAGTAGTCCATGATATAAAACTAGCTATTATGAATTTGAGATTTCCCAATGTTCGGAAATTGTTTTTTTTTTAAATAATAAATTTTGATTCGTAATCATTTTTTTCTATAATAATCGATAGGTGAAAAGTAAAATTTCCTGTTAAAATTTTTACTCACACAAAACTGAAAGCTACCAAATGAATTCAAATAATGGCGCGAGTATGCGGGAATGTAACGTAAATGGTACCCCTAGACGCTTGTTGGCCTGTGGCACTTACGGTGTGTGGTGTATTCCTGTTCACGATTCCATTGGAAATTGGAAGGAAAATGGCATACAAACTGTTATTATTAGAATGGGGCCTTGATTTCAATTGATATAAATTGTGGCAAATCAAACATGGTATTATTCCTTAAAAAGGCCTATTAGTTACCACAACAACGTCGTAGATGACTCAACTAAACTTTTCATTTGAGGCAAATAGGCGTTTCCAGAAAAACAGAATTAGTTATGGCAACAACTAATGCTTGCTGTCCCCTATCGTACTAAAAAATGTTTTTGTAGTTACTAATTTTGTAGTAACGGCTACAAATTTTTTTCCTCAGTGTAGCTTTCAAGAAGCCGGAACATATACAGAAAATTAGAAAATATTCCAGAGAGTAGTTCCTGATCTGTGGTTTAGTATTTGTGTGTTGTCTGAATCAACAAGAGTCGCCATTGAAAGAATAATATGATATCTAGGAAGGTGAGTGAATCATTACATAATTTTTTTTCATCTTCGTACCTCAATATTAGATGTAACAGGAATTGTTATGGACTTGAACTTCTTTCAAATTATAGTTTCAGCAGGTACATTATTTTATACAACACATTGCGGAAAAAAGCAGTTCGACAAAAAACGAGAAGATGATGAAGTTTCCTCTGATAATGATGAGAAATCAATTTGTTCTTTATTCGACTTGCAGCCTTCCTTCCTTTCTATCAGCAATTGAATCCATGATATTTTATCGCCGACGACTTTCCAATTACAATTCCAGAGTCTACAACATTGGAACCAAAGATTGTCGTCACTGCTTGCTCAAGAAATCAGAGCAGAGAAGTTTTTCTGTTTCCAGATGGATGCAGTGGACGAAACAAGAATACTGCAGTTGCTGCTATGCTTCTACATACAGTGAGTACGTTGAATAATATAAGAACGATTTTGTTGCGATTCTTTAAGCCATATCTCGCTCAGAATGAGGGTGATTCCGTTCACAGCTCTATCAACATGGCTATAAAGCGAGAACTGGTAATCTCCTTATTGTGCCATCTCAGGGGCGTATTTACCTAAGAGCCAAAAGGGCCATGGCCCGGGGCGGCAGGCTGCGAGGGGCGGCGCAAGCCGCACCACGCTTAGGTTTTTTTTTACGTCATTCCTCCGAAGAAATTAGCGTCGGCGGCACACAGTTAGATTACTCCGTGTCGGAACCTTTGATGTCGATGTTCCAATTTTACCTGTCACTCACATGCACTCCTGGGAAACAAAGTGAACAGAATTCTGGGTGCGCAAAGCATTTGTCATTTATTGCGAGCGGTGGTATTGTATCCGATGGCTCCGCCTCCATGCGCGTGGGAAACAGATTCCAGTTGCGCAGAGGATAAATTGGACCATGCAAAAGGACTGAGTAGTGAGTAAGCTAACTGATTCTTTTAGCAATAAACTATAAACTTTGTCGGCGGTATGTCTGTCGGACTCCGTCGCGCATCGCGACTCATAAGTTCGGGTGGTTCGAGTCTAAATATAGCCGAGATTGGCGCAAGCGCAGTGAGTAACTGATCTCTGGCGCAGGCGGCGTGGCGGGGTTAACGCAATGCGTGCTTCAGTGCTTCTGTTTTGTTTGTTGTTGCAAGTTGTCTCTAATCAGCGCATCAAATTATTAGGTTTTGTTCTGGACTTTGAATACTAACCTATATTATCAGTCAGTGTTCACAAATTATTTTATAATATTAGGCAGTTTGTAGCTACGATCAGTTATTTCACCTAAGATAAGAACTAGAGTTAAACTACGAGTTAAAAGTTGAATAACACATATAACTAACTCGTAGCTGAATAAATTTAACGTTAGTGTTGTGTTACTACTGTTACTGACATCATGGATCCTACTAAAAAAAAACTAAGTGGTCACGCTTACAGAAGAAAAGCTTTAGAAAAAACACAGAAGCAAGAAAACATTGTCAAACAAACAGCTAAAATTGACAGCTTTTTCAATAAAAATAGGAACGAACCGACAAGTTCGACTAGGTTCAATGACCTAGCAGAGATCAGGACGGAGAAGGTTAGTAACGTTTTTATTTATATGAATATTGAAATACGACGATACTAGAGTAATTTCACGATAAAATATTTCTAGAAAAAGCCATTTCCGATATTGGCGCGGAGGGCACTAATCCCACTTATAATATACACACTAATAATGTTTTTTGCATTCCTTGCAGACTGTGGTTGAAGGGAAAAACACCGAAGATAAACACGATAACAATTCAAAGAAACCTATCAAGTAACTAACAACACTAACACTACTGTTGATACTGTGACTTTCTCCTTCGCATCTTCAAGTGATTTAAATTCAACTGCTTCGCTGTCTGCAGCTTTGCATGAAGATTCTGATCCCAGTATTGCTAGGAACCTTGAAAGTACAAATTTTTCAGTAGTCGAAAATGATCCAGCGCTGTGGATAATAACTGAAGACATGATAGATATTTTTTCAAGAAATGGCTTCGAACAAAATATTGAAGATGAAAATTTTTCGAAATCTAAACGAAGAGCGGATGATCGATATCGCTTTTTACACAAAGATCTATTCAAAACAAATCTTATAAATGGTGAAAAGGTTTCTCGAAATTACTTGATTTACTCCAAGTCACTTGGGTCTGTATTTTGCGGACCATGTCGTCTTTTTGATAGCGGAAAAAGTCAACTTTCTTCGGAACAAGGCTTCAGTGATTGAAAACATGCACATGAAAGACTTAATATACATGAAACAAGTTTGGTGCACAAAAATTGTGTTTTGAAAATGAAGAACCGTGGACAAGTCGAAGCTAGAATAGACTCCAAATTATATGAGCAGTTAGAAGATGAGAGAAAATACTGGCGCAATGTGTTGCTTAGAATAGTTGTAGCTGTGAAATCTCTGGCTACACGTGGTCTTCCGTTTCGTGGCAAGACAGATAAATTTGGATCTACAAATAACGGAAATTTTATGATGGTTTTAGAAGCAATTTCTGAATTTGATCCATTTTTGGCAAAACATATACAAAAGTTCGGTAATCCTGGGAAAGGCAACACGTCATACTTATCTTTTGCAACATACGAAAAAATTATAAAAATTATGGCAGCTAAAGTCACTACCACAATAATGGAACAACTTCGAAAGGCTAAATACTTTTCGTTCAGTGTAGATTCAACCCCTGATATTATACATGTAGATCAGCTTTCTTTGATATTGAGATTCGTTCAAGATAATGCAGAACCAGTTGAACGATTCGTTTGCTTCCTGCCAAACACTGGTCACAAAGCAGAAGACATGTTGCTGGCCGTTATGGAGACCTTTAAATCACTGGATATAGATATCAATAATTGCAGAGGTCAATCCTATGATAATGCTAGCAATATGTCTGGGCAGTATAATGGCTTACAAGCTAAGATCAAAGAAAAATGTCAGTATGCAACATACGTACCTTGCGCAGCACATTCGTTAAACTTGATCGGCTCATCGGCAGCTGAATGTTGCCTAGAAGCTACAAAGTTTTTTTGCGTTGCTGCAAAATCTATACGTATTTTTTACAGCATCAACGGAGCGTACAAAACTACTGAAATCATTCTTAACTAAGCCTGAAAATGTAACTGTGAAAAGTTCATCACAAACGCGATGGTCAGCGAGGGACGATGCTTGTACCAGCCTTAATAATGATTGGAGCCAGATAATAGCGGCTCTTGAAGCTATAAGAAGTGACTCTGCATACCACAAAGCCTTGGTTAAAAATGAAGCGGCTGGGCTATTAGCTCAACTAAATTCTCTAGAAACTGCCATATTATCGGAATTTTGGGGATCTGTATTAAAACGATTTGGTATAGTTTCCAAAATACTACAAGGTGTCGACACAGACGTAGAAGTAGTTTCCAGGCTTTACAAGTCACTCATTACTTTTGTAGAAGAACAACGGGAATCTTTTGATACTTTTGAAAAGGCTGGTAAAAGAAAATGCACAGATGAGTACCGGAACATTCACAATAGAATTGTCAAGAGAAAGAAACGAGACGATGAGAGTAGCGAGGGAGAAGTGGTGTTTCAAGGACGGGATCATTTCAGGGTTAATACCTTCTTTCCAATATGCGACCGATTATTGGGCGAGTTAAGGAAGCGAAAAACTTCGTATGAGGCGGTAACCGCCAATTTTGCATTTTTATGCAAATTGGATACAATGTCTGCTTCAGAAGTGAGATTAAATGCCATAAAACTCCAAAAAGTTTACCCTATTGATCTGGCGGATGATTTACAAGAAGAATGTGTTCTCTTGAAACAATTCCTGACGTCTAAAGAAAATAAAATGAGTTTAAGGCAACTCAGCTTATTTATTAAGCAAAAAGATTTGAAGGAAGCATTTCCATATATTGAAATAGCATTACGAATATTTCTGTGCACTGCGGTGACCAATTGCAGTGCAGAACGGTCATTTTCTGTACTTAAAAGAATAAAAAATTATTTACGTTCTCGTTTAAGCGAAGAACGTTTGAATAGTTTAGCTACTCTCAATATAGAAGCTGAACTGACAAATTCCATTAATTATGACAGTGTTATTGACGAATTTGTTAACCAATCTGTCCATCGAAAGAAAATGTAAATATCGAATAAATAGTGTTTATTTCTTTCTTTGGCCTTCTTAATTTTTCCATTCATTATTATCATTCTCAACCCAATATACTGCTGGCTTTCATTTCATGATTTAATGTTTTGCTCATTTTCCGTTGATTTATGGGGCGGCAAACCCTACAGGCCCGGGGCGCTGAATATTGAAATACGCCCCTGTGCCATCTCAACTAGTTCCTGTCTTGAGACCAGAAGCCATTGTTCACTGTATGGAATCTGAAGATTTCCTCAACTTCAAGAAAATCGATGCAGATCTAAAGATTCCCACAGTACGAGTAGACGATGATGGATTAGGTCTTGACTGGAAGAATATTAGAGAGATTATGTTTCACAAAGATAACGTTGATGAGGTATATTTCAAAACATCACATCTCAATGACTTGCATAGAAGCATAACATTAAAACGCCAATCGTCTTTATGAGAGTTCGTATTGCTCCTATGTGCTCTAAGAAATTACCGTGGATGAAGTGTTATAAAAATCGAACCATCAAATTTTCATACTGATCTCAACTAGATATTCACAAAGCGGGTACCGAGTACGGCTAAGCCGAGTAACAAGTACCGAGTACCCGGTATATTCACCAAGTACCTGGTAGACACAGCTGTAAATTACGGCTCTGTAACAAAACAGCGCCAGACAAAATAGCGCCAGACAAAACAGCGTGCGACAAAACAGCGCCACGACAAAACAGCGCGCGGCAAAATAGCGCGCGAAAATACTTTCTGTTGGAATATCATCATATCGACGATATTTTGAATTGAAAGACGATGCGTTACACGATCCTGATAGTGAATGGTTATAGATACAGAAAAGACAACACACATCTGAATTCTGTCTCGTGGCGTTGTTGTAAATCAAGGTGCAAAGGCCGATTGACTGTATCCAGCGACAACACACAATCACCTTCCCAATTTAGCTGAGAATGATGCACATCTGGCGGAGAATAATATTAAAGTAGGAGCAATGGGGTCGGACGTCAATCCAAGAGCTATCATTCACGCTTCTGTAAGTAGTGCATCGACAGAAGCTTGTATTTATCTTCCTAACTACAATTCCGCAAGAAGAACTATACAGCGTCAAACGAATAAGTCGCATTCAGGAACTCTCTAGAAAAGTTTCTACATTTTTATTCGAATATTTCATCGAAGATGGTAAACTACGCAGGGTAAACGAATGTACAGATCTGGGAGTTATATTTGACAGCAAATTAATATTCAATTTACATATTGAAAAAATTAAATCCAATGCCAATAGGGCTCTAGGTTTCCTCATACGTAATTGTAAAGAATTTACGAATCTTAGAGCTCTTTGTTCTATTTACTACTGCATTGTACGTAGCAAGCTTGAATACTGCAGTGCGGTATGGAACCCAAGCCAAGTTAAACACATACAAGCATTGGAAACAGTACAAAAAAAATTTCTCAAATTTTTGTTTTTCAAAAAATATAATATTTATCCTGAACGTCACTGCGATTACGATTTGTTACTAGAAGAATTTGCATTCGTTAGCTTGAAAAAACGACGTGAAATAGCAGACATGTTTTCTGCATATAAATTAATAAATAATCAAATAGATTCGGCGTCCCTTTTATCCACACTGAGTTTCAACATACCCCGTATCACTTCAAGATCAAACCTGACTTTCCGAATCGATGTTCCAAATTCACAACATCACTTCAATAGTCCTATCACATCTATGTGTAGAAGCCTCAATAATGTGCCGTCTGTAGATATATTTTTTTCAAATTTAACCCAGTTCAGAAAGCAATTGTACACTATTATTCCGAACTAGATATATATTTTCATTTGTTCACCTACATTGGTTCATTGTAATTATTATTCTTATTATAACTATTATTATTATATACTCCTGTAATTGGGCTCCGGCCTGTTGGATGTATTATGTATAAATAAATAAATAAACAGCTTCGCCTAAATGTGTTGCAGACATAGTTATAAAAGATAAGTACCAGACCACTGAAAGAGGAGAGATGTTCTTGCTCTGGTACTCTGGAAATGACGATAATAATAGGATAATTATGTTCGGAACTCGCAGCAATACTAGAAATGTATGCATTATTGTTTAACAAGAAGCAAGGGACAGATACCCGAGTGTTTGATAAGCTTACAGATTGAACCCCTTCTGAGACCACCAAGTATTCTGTCCGACTTCGAAACAGCTTCCATGAATGCCATAGACAAAGTGTTTCCAGATGCACGTATAGTAGGCTGTTTTTTCCAGTTGGGACAAAGTCTTTGGAGAAAAATACAAGAAAACAAACTCACGGAGGTGTACGGTACAAATGAAGTGACATGGCTGAAACTGTTACTTTCCTTGAGCTTTGTACCCGAGATTGACGTACAGTTTGCTTTTAAAATTATGACTGAGAATTTTCCGAAAGAACTTCAGTGGTTGACTATTGGGAAAGCACTTATATTGGAAGAAGGCTTCACAACATTCCACCTCGGTTCCCAGTTACATCGTGGAACATGTTCACTAGAGTTTCTCATGATTTACCAAAGAATAATAATTCATTAGAGGCCTGGCATAATGCATTCCATAAAACTCTGAACTGTCATCACCCATCCATTTTTCGGTTGTTGGATTGCCTCAAAAAGGAGCAGTCTTATGTTGGAACGCAAATGAGTAGGTACCGTGCGGGTTTCAGAAGCGAGGAGAGAGCGACCTGTAAATATGTACAGCAGAAGAAGAGGTTGCAGAACATGATTGATAATTACTCTTTGCGAAAGGTGAATCACTACTTACGAGCAGTAGCGAGAATCAATTTTTATATGACCTAAAGTATACGGAGTATGCAAATTCAGTGAAAAAAGAATGTGCGTGGAAGGAAATTGCAGAAGAATTAAAAAAGTCAGGTAAAGAAATAATATATATTTATCAAATATAACTTATTCAACAATCACGAAAACGTGAATAGTTAATACAAAAAAGACATGTTGTAGCGTTTTGTTATTAAAAATATCAGGGCTGGACTGAAGGACAGTTACTGAAGTTTAGGTCTTGATTCATCTAGCCACATTGTATTGCTGTCTCTCTGATAATCTATGACAGCACGGTATTATGTCCCTGCGTCACTGCCAATCTACAAATCCACTGGGAGAAATAAAATATTCCGCGAATGTATCTCGTGTTTCAAATGCAGCATCAATTGCACTTCCACCTTGTCCTCAAAGAGCGCATAAGTTTTGAGAGGAAAGTGCTTGAGATGTGTCGACATTACTAAGTGGATTTACATATGTACTTTTTATGTAGTTATGTAAAATACATGTAGTCAAAACAATCTTCTCGGCATATTCGGGTTCCTGCAAACGTCTGTTGAAAATACGAAATTTTCGACTCAATTTACCGAATGCATTTTCAACTACACGCCGTGGTCGACATAGGCGATAAATCAAAATCCGTTTAGTTCTATTGGTTACTGCTTGTGGGACTGGATATAGCCTAAGCAGATTTGTTTTTAATGAAAACGCCCCATCGGCCACTATACCACATGGCGCCTGAATATTTGTTCCTGGTAGATACCTATGTTTCATAATAATAAACCTTTCCTGCTCAATCGCTCTTTCCATGTTCGATTTTGTAAATATACCTCCGTCACTATTTCTACCATACGCTCATCAACAGCAACATACTGATAATTTGCATCAACTAATGCTAAAAGTGCTATCGAAAAAGTTTTTTTATACTTAAAATAAAGAGATCCGGAATTTGAAGGTGCTGTTATGATAATGTGTTTGCCATCTAAAGCGCCCATGCAATTTGGGGAATTTCACTTCGACCAAAATGTTTCTATTATTTTTTCCCTCTGTTGTGTCGATGGCATTGTTTGTTTCAGTAAATTGTTTATTATTGCATCACATACGTCCAAAACTGCATTCCTGACACTGGTTTCTCCCATCCGATAACTAAATGCAATCGTTGTGAACGAGTCTCCAGTTACTAAATACCTACAAATGGATCCTGCAGTTATACAAATGAAAAGCAGATGTAGCTACATTTCATATTATTTAAATCTTAAATACATTGGGACATTATCGAATCATCAAGCGAGGGTCTCAACATCAAATAACACCCAATTTGTTATTCCTGTTACAGCTGCAGCATGTAAACAAAAATGGCAGAGTCTAAGGGATTGTTTCAAAAAAAGCAATCAATAAACGTAGAACAGAAACCGGACAGCCGGCCAAAAAATTCGAGAAATAGAAATATGAGGGCGAAATGGCCTTCCTCACTCCATGTTTTGCTGACAGGCATAGTCTGCCATCTGTCACTCTTTCTTCGGATGAATCTGAAACAGACGAAGGAAATAAAGACAATGAACACCAAAGTAACGATGCTTCTGCTACCATTACTGTTGATGGTAATGTTGTTGATATTGATAATGATGATGTTACTAACACTCCTGATGAGAATACTCCCGATACGACATTGGGAAATAATTCCCAAACCAAGGAAAGCCAAATAACAAAAACAAATGTTAAACGAAAAGGAGAACTGAAACAAGGAACCACAGACTCAACGACACCTACAGCATCGTCCATGTTGATGTCATTCTTATTAGAGGAAAAGAAAAAATCTACACCTATCGCCGCTCAAGATCAACTCTATACTTTTTTCATATCAATATCGGTAACGGTGAAGAAATTCTCACCATACCACCAGGCAATAGCAAAGCAGAAAATGCTTTCACTCGTGTCCCGAATGGAACTTGAGCAACTAGTTCCGCCTTCACAAACTGCCTTTGTGCCCATTACCACACCGTTCACGTCGGTTACAGGTTCCGGCGCTTGGCGCTCACAGCAATATTCCCAAGGTGCTTCAACACCTATGCCAACACCTCAAGACTGGGACTATCAGGATCTGTAGGAATTTGTGTAACCTTTTTTTCTTCATCGTTGTTAACTTTATTTTATGAGAGTTACATTGGTTCTGTCTGTGTGGTTTTTTGGAAAATAAATTCACTAAATACATACTTACCGAATACATGCAGCTAGTTTTTCTTTAGGGGCAAAACATTCTCGCAATGTAGTGTTTTTTTGATTTGATTGATACGACGTCAGTCGAAAGTATTGGAAGATTTATTCTTCGTCATCCATCAACTGCCTGCATAATGCCCAATATTATCGTTTAGATTTACTCGTTTCAAGTCATGTACCCAAAAATGCCTTTTTCGTTTATGTTTATTTTGTTCTTTCTCGTCGTCCAAAACTGTTGCAATTACAACCAATTCGGTTGTTGAAAATATACCTGACGACATTTTCGTAGACTTCTTTCAGTTCTTTGATCAAGACTTTTTTTTAATATTCTGGTTCATACGAAACAAGATATCCTGTAATGTTCAGGGAACATCGTGAGAACCAAGGGAAATAAGGTAGGAATTGGTGTTCTTCTTAAATTTCTGGAGGTTATATGCCTCGGGGAACACCTCCCTTGGAACGAGTCTTTGGAAAGAGATCTTCTGCAGGTTTCCAAAGTGACCACGAAGGGGTGCGAAGCCTCAACTCGACGGGTTAATCTCGCGGGGACTGCCAACAATTGTTGATATTTCAGAAGAGCATCGTCCATGAAAATATCTATAGAATAGAGCCAGATCGCCAACTTTTCTACGGTGTTCCAGAGAAGTGAGTGAGTTTGTGAGCGAGACATCACCCACGAAACGAATTGCCCTTTTTTGGACGGAATCCAACAGTTTCAGGGTATGTTTGGGTGCTGCAATCCAAATATGGAAACAGTATTCCAGGACAGGTCGGAGCTGTGCCTTATAGATCATAAGCAGCTGACTGGAAGTGAAATAGCTCCTGACCCGAAACAGAAAACCAAGTTTTTGGAACAAGACTGTGACGCAACGGTGCACGTACGCGTTGTGTTGACGCCAGAACACGGTACGCTGAAAACAACACGGTGTTGTGAGCGTTGGGAATATTTTCGTGTAGGTGTCGGTACGATTACGGACATGCCACGATCATGGCACGTTACGGTCTAACGGGCGGAGATCTTTAAGGAACGAAGTTTGATGTGGGATTATTATGAACTTTGCGAAGAAGGCAGCACAAAGGCAATATGTGTTATATGCAAGACTATAATTTCGCGATGTGGTACCGGGAACTCAGCGACTACTTCATCCCTAGTGAAACACCTGCGTTTCGTTCATACGGTGGAACACAGTGAATACAAAACAAATATTGCTGTGAAAAAGAATGAAGTCACAAAAACTTCATGCTGGTAGCAGTAGCGGTAGTTGTGGCGGTACGCTTGACCTCAAACTTAAAAAAAGTTCAATCCCAAGTATGCGAAGGGACTTGATAAGGTTTTCAAAAACTTAGGTTTTGAAAGCGTTTATCAGTCTGGGTCAAAATTAGACAATTTATCAAGCAATCCAGAAGATAAAGTGGACACACTTGAAAAGTCGGGAATATACGAAATAAGTTGTAATGATTGTGATAAAACATATATAGGCCGAACCAGGCGACCCCTAAAAACAATGTTCGAAGAACACATAGGTCATTTGAAATATGGCAGGTTAGATAAATCTTGTGTAGCCGAACACATGGTCAATCACAATCATAACACACATATTACTAATCTCAAATTAGTTAAGCAAGTTAATAATATTAGAAAATTTGACGCATATGAAAGCTTAGAGATATTTGAGAATAGTAATAGAGTAATGAATAAGGATAATGGACCTATTCCATAAAGCGTTCTATATAGTTTAGTAATATAAAAATTGAGATTAACATGTGAACTCAACCATGACAAACATTAACTTGACGGATAGTATTTTTCACGGTTGCGTGAACATATACCTAGTATATAAGCAGCACACTAGAATAGGATATTTAGTTTTAATCTCCTCCTGAAGATGTTAACATAGTTAGCGAATGTCGAGGCGTTTGAAAAATCGGTCTGGTTAGTGGTATAACAGTGATAGTTGATGTCGGTAAGTGATGGTATCCTACTGTTTCATCACATATTTCAAGTTTTCAACGGATTTTATTGGTGACAGAGCCCTCTTACGAAATTACTTCAAGAAACAGATAGGTACTGTTATTCTTGAACTGTATACCAGGTGCCGAGATAGAATGTTGGTGCAATTGAAAGAAGCAAAGTACATTGGTTCAACATCTAATATTTGGACATGCAGTAATTCCAATCGAAGCTACATTAGTGTAACCGCCCATCATATCAGTAATGACTTTATTTTTAAACACGGAGTATTTGACACCATACCGGTGGAAATATTGCATTAAAACTGAAAGCGTTGATAGATTGGGAAATTACTGAAGATAAGATATATTTGTTATCAAGGGATAGTAGTTTTAATATAAAAAGAGGAGCTAGAGATTTTGGGGAACCAGTGAATCATGTTTTATTCACACTTTACAACTAGTGGTTACCAATTCTATTAAATCACAACAATATTGAAACACCCGGTGTCTCGAATCATTACCTACCATTGGGCGTATGTCGCAAGTTACAGTAATTGAAAATAAAAAAGGGCGGACGGCATCGCCGGAACGTGTAGGGTGTATACGACGCGCAGAGGTGGCATAGGTAAAAATGTATCAACTGATTATATTCTACAAGGTTTCACATATGGCTAAGGAAAATTATTTCTTTGCCTTGATAAAGCACGTCAAAGAACATGAGTTGGGAGTCCACTCTTATACTCTAAGAGCTGAAGTATTGCTGCCAATTTATAAGGTCAATACCTTCTGTTTATTTTTTGAATTATGAAGACTCTATTGGCAATATTGCTAGAAAATGATTTCCCACAGAAAACTATAGTTTCAGAGAAGTAACAGTTTGTGGCAGAGTATGTGATGTAATGAACAGTTTTTATAGATCATTTGACATTCAAATGAAAGATTTGCAAGAGAGGGATTTATTTGAAATTATTTCAAAGACCTTGTGGAGGAAACGCCAGAACTCAGCAGATTCTTGGTAAATGAAACTCATTTCTCAACTTTGAATACGTGAAATAATAATTTAGATAACAAGTCCGAAAAATACTGTTTTTTTTTTTGTACGAGTAGACAAAATTCTAGAACAAGCCGTAGGCAAGTCCTGGAAGTACTATTTTTTCGGCAATCATGTAGAATAACAAGATGATTCTCTGTCGGACCATCGACACATTCTGTTCAAGTTAGGTGGGATAAGCCCACCTGAAAAGAAAAAATATAGGAACCCACGGACAACCAAATGGGATCTCTTTCGAGAGGAACTGAAAGGAAGACTAGTGGGACTACCATCAAAGTACGGAAGCGAAGCCGAAATAGATATGGCAGTGACATATCTGAATGAGGCAATCACTTCATCGTATGAAAATAGCTGCCCCCTCAAAGAGAGGTCGGACAATGCGAAAACGCCATGGTGGAATTTAGAAATAGGAAACCATCGTAGGCTTACAAGTGAGGTACGTAGTATTTGAAAGGTATCAGATTAGTATAGATGCAGTTTTCATTAGGTATTAGATTGGTATAATAGAGGTCAGATAATTTATACGACGCTATAAAAGCAGATGATATTTTATCATTGCTCATGTAAGATGGAAGTAGAGGCCATGGCACCATATCATGAGCATATTTTTATATTGAAACTATCATTGGGCACCAAAGATGTGTATACGACGCTATGAAAGTTCAGAGAACTGGAGATTTTTTCCACAAACTACGTATTTAGCCCACTCGACTGTCTTGGTTTTTCCACACAAACTACGTACCTAGCCCACTCGACTGCCAATAGGGACTAAAAAAACAAAAACAAGAGAAAGTTCAAACAATGCCAACATATTTCTTCTTTGTGGGAAATCAAGACAGTCTAGTGAGCTAGGTACGTAGTTTGTGGGAAAAAATCAAGACAGTCGAGTGTGCTTTTTTTACTTACTTTTGTTTTTTGTTTTGTTTACTATTGGCAAGTGATTATCTAGGAACTTGTAAATTTTTTCTTTTTTTCATCGTATCTCCCGAACTATTGAATTCAGAGAAAAATGTTATACGGATTTTTTTGTAGATTCTATCAAAAGGAATAATTTTGGTTCTATAACATTTTCAGATATTTTCAGTTGTTTTCGAGATATTCGGAATTATCTGAGAATAAAATTTTCAACACTTTTGTTCCATCTTCCAATCAACAAAAGGAAAAAGTATTTCATGGTTCAGTGGAAGTCGATTAGCTTCATCTATCGATAATCTTTGTTTTTCAATATATCTTCATGGTACCCTATGCGTCGTTCCAATTTTTTTTTTTTATATTTTTTACTTCATTTCCTGTACTATTGGGTTCACAGAAAAGATTATGGGTAATAATTTGTAGATGTTCCAGTGGATAACTTTGCACTTTTGATAATTTTCGATTTTTCCATTTGTTCTCGATATAATATATTGAATTGAAAGGATTTCAAATTTTGATGTTTCGTTATTCATTTGTTTTTCCATTTTCCGATGGATGCAAGAAAAAATGGTGAAATAATAATTTGTTGTGTCATCAAAGAGGCATACGGTGCCTTTTTCAAATTTGGATTTAGTCTATTGGTACAGGAGATATGTCGTTTCAAAGCGAACCGCGTGTTTCGGAAAATCTCCTTGAAAAACCCACTTGGAATTTTCCGACCCTGCTCAATTTCAAAAGGCTTCGTCTCTCCCTGATAGAGTTTTTTTTTCACAAAAAATGGAATCGGTCGGACCACTTTTGCGATTTGTAGAGTGGTTACAAGAACCTTCCGGTGAAAAATCGAATAAACCCGGAAAAACCACCTTAAGAGTTTTCCGATTTCCTCCATATTTCAATGACAAGATATTGTTTTGAGTACAATAAGATGGCGAAATTTCGAGTCGATATGTCAAAGGGTTCCGGAGATATATCGA